ATTTGCACTGCTCATATGAAATAATTTTTGTTCTTTTTTTCTTCAAGTGAGGTTATTAAGAATCAATTGTTCAAAGGTAATCAGATTCTCACTCATTCTCTGAAAGTTTTCGAAAAGCTGACGGCATAGTGATTCTCTGTCACAGCGTAAAGATATAAAATTGAAATTCTGTAAAAGCAGTTGTACTTAAAATTGAAAATTCATTATTAGTACGTAATATAATTGAAAGTGTTATTAACAAAGATTCAGTTCATCTTTTACAACAAAAATAGTAACTGAAAATATCTTAGGTTTTAAAAAAACACTTGATTTAATGTAGGTGCTTTGAATAAATTACATTTTTAATCATTCAAAAATCTGTCTGTAAAATAAACACTAATATTAGTTTAATATTTTTTTCGAAAATCGCCAAATATTTTTGGTTGTAAAATTAAATTTTATTTGTTAAGTTATTGAATTAAATTTTTGACTGAAATTAAAGTTAAATTTAAAGCTTTTTTTCAAAACGACTGTCAACCGAAAAAATGATTTAATTAATTATTTCTTGATTAAGACAAAAATTTCAGTTAGATCTAGAAAAATGCTATTAGCTGACGAAGTTATTCTGTGTTATTGATAGCCGTTCTCAACTTTGATGTTTCTAAAGACAGCTGTACGCAGAAACCTATACACTGTTCTTATCGTTTGTCAATTTGATTATTGAAAAGATGACCAATGTTTTCTGATAAAAACAAATATACCAATGTGGAAAAACGAAAAAAAAAATAAACTTTTAGAATATTTTATCAAATTTTTTGTTGTTTCTTGCAGGTCACCTTTTTCAGGTCACTCTTCGATGTTGTTAATATAACCATAAAAGCTTAGGGTCGTAGTATCACTGTCTAATATGCGGCAAATTTGAAATGTATGTAAGCGATCAAGGAAAAAGCTGTCATTATCGGTTTGCAACAGCTTCAACTTTGCCTACACTACAGAAACTTGTCAATCAAAATTTTAAAAGTGTCATAAATGCAAAAAAAAAAGTTTTTTTTTAATTTTTGTAAATTTGGACAGCAAAAGTTACTAAATTGTTTAAGCTTAAAAATAATTTCTTCTTCTATTGTGAAACGTTAAGGTTTGTCTAGAAGCTGTTTGTAAAAAGTTTAAGTTAATTTTCTATTGTCTGCCAATAGTTTTTTAATAATTATGGATAAAAAATTAATTTTTCTCAGATGTTTTAAGATGTTTTTTTTATAACTTTTAGGTTTAAATTCAATAACCCATTAAAGATTGAAGTTTAAAGTTTTTTTCTGTAGGTGTGTTTTTGCAGAAAATATGAGTTTGCTTAAATGTTTGTAAAAAGCATTAGATAAACAAAAAAATTTTTTTTGACTAAATTTTATCACTTTCTCTTTCCTTTTTTCTTTCGTTCTAAAAATTTTCTGTACCAATTGATAATTTTTGGTTTTTTTTTTTATAAGAATTATTTTGTTGTTTTGTCAACAAATTTTTGTTTTATATTTTTTACAAGACCATTTATTTCATTTATTTTTTTTTTCGTAAGTGCTTAAACAAGAATAAATAAACTGTTGTTGCATCAAACAGGCAGCATTATTTATACAAAAATTTTATTACATTTAAAAAACTTATCACAAAGCGCTGTAGAATAAGGAAATTTGAAACTGTTAAAAATTGATGAGAATAAAAAAACCAAAGTTTTTCTTTTTTGTCATTTCAATACTGAACACGGTATAAGGTATCTGAATAAGTTTAAAAAAAAAACCAACTGATTATTTTACACTCATTTGAACATTTCTTTAGTCTATTTTGCAACACTTTTTTTTTCTTTTTGTAATTTGATAAAGCTTTCCTTTAGAATAAACCGGTAAAAAAAACCCTTACTTAACAACCCATACTTTACAGTTGATTAAATTGATGCTAAAGTAGAACAAAAGTTAATCAACTTTAGTTGAACTTTGTAATTTCAGTTTTTTTTTTTTTTCTACAGACTATGAGTCTTTAAAACTGTACGAATTTTTACAACAGATTAACACTAAAATAAGCCTCAACAAATCATATCAAAAAATATTTATTCTCTATTGCTCGATATTTTTCCAAATATTGTTCTACTTTTTTCTTTTTTTTTTTTTTTT